GGGGGTGGATCACTTGGAGAGGGGGTGGATCACTGGGAGAGGGGGTGGATCACTTGGAGAGGGGTGGATAACTTGCAGACCCTAGAAATCAAAGCAGTGTAGCGAGTGCCGGCGCTCAGAGGTCCCACTGCACTGTGTAATCAACGTGCCCATCTTTCTCTGTGCTTTGTTTTGTTGCGTGTAATGCTTAGAAGGTTGGCTTTGAGAATTTCTCCTGTATGTGACAATGTGCACTCTGCTCTCATTTAGTTAGAAAGCTGATTTTGGGGTCAGGACATTAACTTGTCCGTATCCTGTTGTTTAAGCAGGCACACGTCTGCGCAATGTTCCTGTCCTTTTTAACGACGCAGAAACCAACCTGGCAGGGATGTATGGAAAAGTCCGCAAAGCTGCCAGTTCCATTGACCAGTTCAGGTAAGAGATGCTGGCGCAGTGAGTGGTGGAGCGCAGTGAGCGGTGGAGCGCAGTGAGCGGTGGACCGGCCACTGTTGTCTGTCCCGGCAGGCAAAGCTGATGTTGGATAGTGGCAGTTCCCCGTAATGGCCTTCTTGGTGGAAGGGAAATGTTGCCAGGAGATGTTCACTGTGTTCATTTGAGCTTCTGTAATCACGCCTTTAAAAAGTCTGCATCTGTGCAGAACTTCCAGACCGCCTGATTACAGGTAACGTCCCTCTTAGGTGCTTCCCAGGCCACCTCTTGTAATCTCTTTAGTCCTCAAGAAGGAACAAGCTTGCCTCCTGCAGTTGTAACCACAGCATTAATAGAAACAGCTTCAGTTTTAACAGCCAAACCCAGCTGTGACTTGTCTATGTGGTTGTTTTAAGCAATCATGCGAGAATCCACAGTGAATGCTGTATTTTGTAGTTGTTGCTGTTGTTGTGAACCATCCAGTTAGAATAGACCCAAAGCTGACCCTCCAGCAGGTTTGCAGGGGCAGAGAATCGCACAGGATGAGATTGCCCATCCTTCTCCTGTGGAGCGGCTGGTGGATTTGAACCATGTACCTTTGGGATTGCAGTGCAGCTTTGCACTAGGCCACCAGAGCTCCCATTTCTGTAGTTGTTGCCTAAATAGTTTAAATAAGTGGCATATTTGGAAGCATCATGAGATGCAGAAAATGTATTTGGAGTATAATTCTCTTATCTCCTGTCTGCACAGTATCCGCCTGGGAATTTTCCTCCGAAGATACCCCATCGCCCGGGTGTTTGTAATCATATACATGGTAAGTAAACTTGTGTGAAAACCAGTGCTGCCCTTGGCTTTTCATGTTGTTTTGTTTTTAGTAGCAGTTCAGCAATCAATTTTGAGAGACTAGAACCCATTTTTGGTACTTAATGCAATATGACAATAACTGATTCAATATGTCTAAAAATGAACTGTTGCTTTGTGCCATCGATTCAGAACTGACTCATAGCTGACCCTCCAGCAGGTTTTCAGAGGCAGTAAATCACATGAGATAAGATTGCCCATCCCTCCCCCGTGGAATTACTGTGTGGATTCAAGCCATGTGCCTTTGGATTGACAGCACGACTCCTTACCAATAAATCATCACTCTACAGTAGACTGTAAATACAGTTAATAGCTTACTGCCCTTTTCAAGCCTCTTTAATGATAAAAACATGATACAAACAATTGCTTGTGTTTTTATCTTGATGTTGTCAGATGCTTTAATTGCTCTCATGGTATGTTTTCTAAGAAGACTCTACAGTATATTTGAGATTTGTTTTGCTCCAGTAAAATGGCTGCAATAATTGCTGAACTATTTTACATGTGTGGTGTGCCTGAAAGGGTCTCTCGACTGGTCTGAGTGTCTGTCGAAGAGTAATTGAGGGAAAAGAAACAGAAACACACTTAAGAGATTATGCTGTGATCCACTAGAGGGGAGAGTTACTCTTTTAAAGAGAAACCCTTTTTACAAGGGAGGACGAGAGGGTCCAGCCAACACTGAAGGGTGTCCAAGGACTCTGAGCATCTCACAGCATCCCCATGGTGGGGGGTGGGTGTCCCGGGATGACCAGCAGCATGTGGCCACTGTCCATGAGCAGTGGGGATTGTTGCCCACTTGGAGGGTACCTCTCTATCGTCATGACAGCACTCCAGTGGGGAGAAGTAGTGAGCTTGTGCGCTGAAGACCATGCTGCCTGTTTACACCCTGCTATGGGTTTGGTGTTGACTCACACTGACCCTGCAGTAGACAGTGAACTAACTTCCCAGAAGGTCCCTGCAGTACAGAGTGAACCACCCAGAAACAGGGTGAACCACCCAGAAGGTCCCTGCAGTACAGGGTGAACCACCCAGAAGGTCTCTGCAGTACAGAGTGAACCACCCAGAAGGTCCCTGCAGTATAGGGTAGAACTCCCAGAAGGTCCCTGCAGTACAGGGTGAACCACCCAGAAGGTCCCTGCAGTATAGGGTAGAACTCCCAGAAGGTCCCTTTACAGCAGTAGATGTTCACATCTTTCTGCTGAGGAGTGGCTGATGGTTTCGAACCTCAGCAGCTAAGCCCTTATCACTGTTGCACCGGGGCTCCAGAGTAGATCAGGCGTCAGACTCTGTTCAGCCCCTGAAACCTGACCCCTAGCTCGCTCCATCGAATCACGGCTAACCCACCTCTAAAGCACTGACATGCTCTGTTCCTTGAGTTCTTTCCAGCATTTTCTTGTGTCTCTGTCTCTTGTGTCTCTTCCCATTGTGTCTTAAATTCCAGACTTCACGTCTCTTCACTGAGAATTCTGCATGACTAACTCCTTAGGGAGCTCTGGTGGCTCCCACAATAATTCTTTATCCACTCTGTAGTGTACTTAACTCATTTCGTTGTTGGTTCATCCATTATTTCATGATCTTCCCAATAAACGGGTACCGGGAGCCCTGGCTTCTTGTTTGACCCATGGCCGTCCAGTGGGTTTTCAGAGGCAGTAAATCTCAAGGAACGAGACTGCCCATCTTTCTTTCCGTGAAGCAGCTGGTGAATTTCAACCATGTGCCTTTGGGTTGGCAGCCCAGTTCTTTACCACTAAGCCACCAGACGCGTCCTGGCGGGGCAGTGGTTTAAAGTGCTCAGATTTTGAGCAGAGAGGTTAATGATGTGGCAGTGGATTGGGTGTGGTAGTGCAGTGGTTAAGTGCTTGGCTGCTTACCACAAGATGTGGAGTTGGAATCCACCAGTCGCTTCTCGAGATAGAAGGGTGATCAGCTTGTGTCAGGATTCCAGCCGTGGGGACCCTGAGGGTCCTCTGTCCTGCAGGGTCACTCCGAGTTGGGATCCACTCACTGGCAGTGAGGTTGGTTTGGGGAGCAGGTTGTGAGCCCTGCAATGTCTCAAGCACAGTGCTGGGCACATGTGGAAAACCAGATGAGGTGGAGAGCTTGCCCAGGGCATGGCGGGCCTGGGAAAGGCCGACTTCGTGCCTGATCCACGCTTCATTTCTTCTTCCTGTAGGCTTTGCTTCACTTGTGGGTCATGGTCGTCCTGCTCACCTATACCCCAGAAATGCACCATGACCAGCCATACGGCAAGTGAGCCCGTCGAGCGCCTTGAGGGCTTGCTGGGCTTGTTCTGGACCTGGGATCAGAAGCGCCTGAAGTCCCCGAGGAGGGGGCACAAGATGATTTTATCTCTGCCAGCTTTTAATTTTTTAAGTTATTACATGAATACTCTACGACCTAATCTCTTTCTGACTTCCTTCAGATGGTGGTAAGCGTTTCTAGAACAGTAATTTAACAAGCTCAGCTCCGCTTTCCTGAGATCAGTGATCCAGAGATTGTCCATGCGCAGAGGGGCTGGGGTTCAGCTCTGTGCAGACCATCCTGCATTTTAGGTCACCGATTGTGGGCTATAATCAGGGAAATGAATTGTATTTAGTAATATAAATAAAAAGTTTTCTTTTTGATAATTCAGTCTGCTCTTGTGTTTGATATTTTTAACTGCAGCCCCATTTCCTTTCCCCCATGTTTCAGGACTGATAAGTGTAAAAATATTTTTATAAATGCATAAATAAAATTGTGCTTTTTGTCTTTTAAAATTTTTTTTTTCATCCCTTCTATACAATAATTTCCCGTTTCACCTTTAGTGTGTCCAGGCCGAAGTCAGCAGCAGAAAACCTCTTATGGCCGAGTGATTCCGGTGCATAGTGCTCTGCTCAGTGCAGAGCGGCCTCGGAGGGTTCCGGGCTGAATCTCTGTGAGAGCTGCCATGTCTTTCTCCCACAGGAGCAGCTGCTGATCCAAACGGCCCAGCTTAGGTTCTCAGCTCAGTGCTTAAAACCACTCTTCCCCCAGAGCTCCTTGCGGGAATGAGAGGTGCCCCTGCTGCCCCATGAGTCCCTCCTTTTCCCCTCTCCGCCCCCACTCTGTGCTCCCCCTTCTGTCTTCTGTATCTCCCCCTGGGTTCTCCTCTGCCTCCTGCACCTTAGCCCGCCTCCTGCGGACTGCAGTGAGGAGGCAGGTCTGTTTCCACAACTGCAGCCCTGCACTTTGGAAGCCTGCAGTGCTGAGAACTCTTCTTTGAGGAGAGACGTTGCTTTGCGTTGGCTGTGGTGTCTGGTTGACTTTCCTTTTCATCTGCATGTGTGAATTCTTCAGTTACTCTGTCACCTGGGTGGGTCCAGGCTCTCCAGATGTCATTAATAGATGGCGTTCTCACCACACAGGGCCTTAGTCCTCCCTACCGGAGAATTCTCTTTGAAGCAGTCAGCTTGGTGCCTAGCAAAACTTGTCCAGTTTCTAGTCTGATGATACTATTTGGTTTATGTTGTTGTAATGTGCCATCAAGTCACCTGGGTACAATAGCTCTGAACCCTGCTCTATCCTGAGCCAGTCTTGCTGACACCAACACACCCACCCCCATTACCACAGTCACTGTGTCACTTCGTCTCTTCTGGGGTTTTCTCTCCTGCACTGACCCTCCACCCTTCCAAGCATGTTTCTAAACATTGCTTCCACACTTTGCAAATCCTTGAGAATTTTTGTTACACTGTAAGATGTGGTATGTTGGGGTTTTTTTAACAGAAAATTGAGTTTCAAGATCACCTAAGCTATTGGACTTCTTTCCAAGCTGGGCATGCATGAAAAGGCAGATTTTTATATCCTTAAAAGTGAGTCTTCTGAGAGTGAGTGGAGGGCAGAGGAGGAGACGCAGCCTGGCTTATTAGAGGATTGCACTCCTGCGGTCTCGGGTCTGATGACCCTTCATGCTCCCCAGGAAGTCAGAGCTGACGCAGGCAAAGAAAGGCAGCCTTCACTCTGTTCTTCTCGTTTGGAAACATTTCAGGGAAAATGATTCAAACCAGGTGACACATTTCGCATGGTCAGGAGCACAGGCTTCCTGGTGAGAACTGCCAGACTTCCCGGCAGAGCGCGTCTGGGCTTCAGTGGACGTGTCTCTAAATCTTCGGAGCGGACTGGACACATTTTTGCATTTGGACTTGTTTGACAAAGTGTTTCTGGACTTATTTTTCTGCACGTAAATCTTCCTTCGATTGGAATTCGGTTTCAGTATTCTGGACCACTGACAAACTGGAGAATTTTTTTAGAGTGTTACCATACTGTAGTCCTCAGTGGGACATCCTTGTCATTTAATACTTTTAACAGATGTCCTTGGCAGAGCCCCCCGCTTCCATTTGTCCAATAAACTTGGACAAAGGCTCCCTCCTCCAATTCCACCGCTGTAGCCGTCCCACCGTACCCCCTCATGGCAGGGCTCTGGTTCAGCCATGGCTGCTGCCACCATAGGGGTAGCTGAAGCAGGAATGTCTGGTCCCAGAGGGTGTCCTGCATTCTCTTGCTGCTTCAGGGAAAGTCTCCTGCTGCTGGATTGCTCAGCTTGGAGGAAGACTGGCCAATCCCCTTATGGATAGGCTAGCATGCCCTATTTGCATATTCCCGCCCATCTACATGGCACAATCGGACACTGAGTAGGAAAGTCATATTGAAAGATGAACTCCACGGCAGCCAATTTGCCCAATGCAGTTTTGATGTCTTGGTTGCTGCCACGATTGGCATTGATTGTGGACCCAAGTGACATGAGATCTGGGACAGCTTCAGAACTTTCTCCATGTAGAAGCATTTAAAGTGTTGACTATGAAGTGTTGAGGGGTTGGTTCTGGGTTTTTTTGCTTTTTGTTTGGTTGGTGTTTTGTTTTTGTTTTTGTTTGTTTGTTTTTGCGTGTGCACACAATAAACTGCTTTATTCACTATCAGGACCGTCAGCTCTCCCGCCTCCCACTATCCTGGTGGCTTTGCCTTCAGTCTCGGATATCAGCGACCCATCCGCACCTATGGAGACAGGTGCGATTAGGAAAGAAGGGCTCTGAAGTGTTAAGAAGCACAGTTGTCCCGTTCAGGACAAAGATGTAGCTGACCAAGCCACGGTGTCTTCAGCCACCTCATAGGAGCGCCGCCGGTGTGGCCCACGGGGCGTTGCACTGCTGACTCAGAGGCACTGCCTCTGATGCCTCAGATCCTTCAGTGGCTCCACAGGAAAAAGATGGACAGTGTCCTGCGTGATGGACAGCTGAAGACCCGCTAAAGGGTCAGCTCGGAGTGCGTTCCGTTTCCACAGTAATGCAGAGTTACCTTCATATACCTGTGAAAACTGGACCGTGAATAAAGAAGACCAAAAAGAAGATGCATTTGAATTAGAGTGTTTGTGAAGAGTATTACATGTAACCCTGGACTGCCCAAAGAACAAATACCCGCTGGGAAGAAGGGTACCCAGGATGGTCTGTAAAACTGAGGATGGTGTGACTTCATTGCACACGCTTTGGATCTGTTATGGGGGTGGGGTGGGGGTGGTATACACTTCCTGGAGAAGGACTCTGCTTAGTAGAAAGTCAGCAAAATATATCTAGTTGTCATCATCTGTATTCCTCATTTAACAACATCGTTAGGTTCTAAAAAGACCCAGGTCATTATGTGAAAATGGACTATATGAGAAAATCTAAGTCAAGTGAAATTGGAGGATGTTTACATTACATCACTCTGAGACCACTGAGAATCGTGGCCCAATCAAGCTGATACATGAGCACCACAGCCAGCATCGGCTTGCCTCACACCTCAGCGTTTGTTACAGCCAGACCCAAGTTATTAGAATGTGGAAAAGAGATATTTTTTATTTATTGATTTTTTTTAACTATTGTCACCTTTTCAATCTATATGCAGAACAGATCATTCAAGAGGCTGGACTTTATGAGCAAGAGTGTGGCATCAGGATTGGAGGAAGACTCATCAACAACCTGCGTTATTCAGATGGCACAACCTTGCTTGCTGAAACTTAGGAAGACCTGAAGCATTTACTGCAGAAAGTCAAGGACTGTGGTCTTTAATATGGATTGAAGCTCAACATCAAGAAGACAAAGGTTCTCACCTCTGGGCTAATTGGCAGCACCATGATGGATGGAGAAGCGATTGAGATTGTTAATAGCTTCAGCTTACTCAGCTCCACAATGAACATTTTTGGCACCAGTGACCTGGAAATCAAAAGATACATTGCATTGGGGAAGTTTGCTATTGGGACCTCTCTAGAGTACTGAGAAACAATTATGTCAGTCTAGAGATTAAGATGCACCTGATCCAGGTGGTCTTCGCAATTTCTTGCTATGCATCAGAGAGCTGGGCAATGACTAAAGATGACAGAAGAATTGATTCCTTTGAGTTGTGGTGCTGGAGAAGAGTATTGGCCATACCTTGGACTGCGAAGAGAACAAACTGTTGGAGATGGTGAAACCAAGTTTCTCCTTGGAGGCTAGGATTTTGAAGCTCCATCTCTCATATTTTGGGCACATGACCAAGAGGGACAGGTTCTTGGAGAAGGACATCATGCTTGGAAGGGTGGAGGGACGGCGCAGGAGAGGGAAACCCCAGATGAGATGGAATGATAGAGTAAGCACGGCAATGGCATTAAGTGTGTCCGAGTCGGTGAGACTGGCTCAGGCCAGAGCAGGGTTCAGAGTTATTGTACATGGGATCAGTATGAGTCAAGGATGACTCAGTGGCACATAGCAGCAACAACATTGTCATAAATGTGCAGTTGTTCACATAAATGTGAACTAGACAATTCCTACGTGAAGAATGTTGGTGTTCTATGCCATCGAGTGGCTGGCACTCCAGTGGGTTTTCAGAGACTGTAAATCCCGTGGAAAGAGATTGCTCATCTTTCCCCTACATAGCGCCTATCTGGTGGATTTGAACCATGTGCCTTTAGAGTGATAGTGCAACTCCATAGCAGTAGACCACTACAGTTCCCCTAATTATTAGTTGTTATATGCCGTTTAGTTATGTTAGTTATATAAACAAAACTACCCAAACACTCTTCTTCCTGCTTTGTTGATTCTTTCCTGTGCTATGCTTTCTGTTTATGATCTCTTCATTTCCCTTGCTTTTTGCTGGAGTTGTCACCATCTGAGTATTGTTGTTAGGTGCTGTGAAGTATGACTCATAGCAGCACTATGATCTATAGCTCTGAACCCTGTGCCAACCTCAAAGTTTCTTGACACGATCAAACCTATTGCTACGGTCACTCTG